CTACAGGTTAACCAACCTGTTAGAAAAATAAAACTGTCTTAGCTGAAGATGACTCCTACTCTGCCAAAATTTATATTTGTGTCCCCTAGTCTTACTATTTTCGCAGTTAAGTATGAAAAAATGACACATAAACACTATCAGTTCCCTTTACAATTATAAACACCTCAAACAGATCCCCTCTAACTTTTTTTTTCTCAGAGAAAACAATTCCAGAAATCTTATTCACTCCTCCTATGATAACTCCTCCATTTCCTCGTATGACAACCCCCCTCTATTCCAGGCACCATTCTAGTAACCCTTCTCTGAACCCTTTCCAAAACTTCTATGTTCTTCCTAAGGTAAAAAGCCAAAAACTGAACACTATACTTCAAATGTGGCCTAACCTGTGAACTATATAATAAAGTTATAACCTCTTTATTCAATTCAATATTTCTGTAGATACAACCTAAAATCCTATTTGCCCTACCACTAGCAACAGCACATTGCTTGGATGGCTTAAGAGACTGATCAACCATTACACCAAGATCCCTTTCTTTCACGACACTATTAAGGTTATTCCCATCCAAATTATACTTATAATTCATTATATTCTATTTTGTAAATCCCAGTTTTACCTTCTAATTATATTTTATCTTTAGTATTCTCTAACATCATTTTTAATCTTATCAATAAGTTTAAAGATGGATTAAGTTTTGTTGCTTCTTAAAAACAATAATTAATTGACCTGTTAATTCTGGAATATAAGTTTGTTTGTATTTAAGCACAAAGCTACACAATGGGCTATCTGTGCTCTGCCCACCACGAGTATCGAAACCCGGATTCTAGCGTTGTAAATCCGCAGACATACCGCTGTGCCACTGGGGGGCTGAAATATAAGGTAAACTTAAAGTTTCTTTTTTGTTTTTTTCATAAATATATCTTAACGTAGTATTATTAACTAACATTCAACCTTCGCAAATTTCTTAAATGCTCTGTCTACTATATTTGGTTCAGATCTTTTTTCAACAGCTACATACTTATTAATTAGTAACAGTTCATTACCTAAATCTTTCTGTCTTGAACATATTTTTAAAGCACTGTAAACATATGATTCCTGGTGTGTCGGCATGACAACAGCAAAGGGTTTCCTATAAACGGATGTTTCCAAGTTATCATATATATTTCTTTTTTGACTAGCTTTAGTTTGCTTTATTTTGGATTTCGCTCAAAGCTACATTAGTGTTACCTGCGTTAGCCATCCCTAATTTAGCAGTGAAAACAAGAAAGTCAGCTAGTCATCACTACCAACCGCTAACTCTTGGGCTACTCTGTTAACAACGTATAATGGGATTGATCGTAAGATTATAACGCCCTCACGGCTAAAAGGACGAGCATGTTCGGTGGGACGGGAATTTGAATCCGTGACCTGCAAGTTGGGAGTCGAGCGCCCTAACCACCTGGCCACATCAGGTCGTTTGTTTTAGAAAAATTTCCAAAAGCTATTCAAGGATTGTCTGCATATAGACTAGAGGGAAGGCAGATGGTCTACAGCATCCACCGCCAACTCTTAGGCTACTCTTGTCTGACAGAATAGTTGGATTTGATCCTCGCTCTTATAGCGCACCCATGGCTCTGAAGAACAGAGTGTTTTTGGGTGTGTTTTTTGCGGCAACGGGATGAGAGCCATAACTACTGAATTCTCAGTACGGGCATGTTAGTCACTAGGACGCGCCTGATTTTACAAACAATAAAAGCAAACTAAAACTAATATTAGTAATAGCTGACACAGAGAGGATCTGCACGACAGTAACTTTACACACAACGAGTCTAGGTCAGTTAGTGAAATCTCACTCTCGACCCCCCCCCCCCACACACACATATGTATGACTTTCTCGGTCGTGTTTCACGATTATTTATTTGTTGTGTCTCGCATTGCGAGGTTTCGTCATACCGAAGCTTGTCCTACTTTCATATTCTTGTATTATAGGCAGCAAATAACAAATATGGCTACACTGGATTGACAATCTACTGTGGTAAAACTGAAAGATGTTTTGAGACGTCACGAAGAACAATTAATCGGCAATAAAGATATTGTTACGACAGCGGGGGTCACGTGACTCTGGTAACACGTAATGAGTATCTCGAACGTTCCTGAAGGCTCGAGTGTTTGCCAGACGCCCTCTATTTTGTATATATAAGACCAGCGAGAAGTGACGGCATAGATAATTGAATAGCAGACAGGGAGATAGAGACAGATAATCGAGTCAAGCAGTAAGTAAAGTGTGTAAATCATTGTGAATTATAGCGTGTGTTGAAGTTAAAATGATTGTGGAAATTAAGTGTATTGCAAAGTTGTATTGAGGAAGAATAACTAGTTTTATTTAAGAAAGGGCTTGTATCGCTGAAGTTCTTTCGAAAGAATTTTTACGGGTAATTAACAAACGACCATTGACGTAACAATATTCTTGTTTCCCAATATTTTTCTAATAAATTAACAATTTCGTTTTTTAGGGTTATTGAATATAATAATTAATGGTTGTGTGTACAGGAAAGGTCCGGGTCGTGGATTATAGAAAAAAAAATTGAAGAAAAAGCAATTAGAAACTGGCAAGAAATATAGCAGCTGTAATCTGATTCCCGTTTTATAAAAAATGTCAAATCCCCATGTGTGAGATTTATCATCAATCAATCAACCAATCAATTTAAATTATGGGATTCATTATAGCTTAACAAAATATCAAGGTTTTAAGAAAATCATAAATATATTTTATAAAATCAAAGTCAGTACTCATGAAAATTTAAAAAATAACGTGATTAAAAAAAGCAATCACACATCCAGAAAAAATACATTATTTCCCTCATACTACAACTCTCTAGTTAATGCCGATCTTCAAGATATTAAACACAAATCTCTAGAAGAATCTAAATTTGAGATTTTTTTTATGAAACTGGAACTGGATAAGTAAACTACAAGGTTGTTAAGATAAGAAATTCTTGATGATATTATTCTAAACTGATCTTTTTTATCTCTACGCTTGATTAAAGAACGTCAATCATCTTACAATTTTTTGTTTTCTAAAACTTCTTTAGGTATATAAAAGAGATGAAATGTGACGTAGGATCTCTCAGGTAAATATTCCTTATTTGAACATCTTACTGCACAATACTCTTTATTTTGGAAAATTCTAGCTTTAAACACATTATTGTGAATGGAATATCCTATCAAACACACACATACAAGATAATCAAAAGGCAAGCAGAAAATTTCAATAAAGATTCATTAATAATTATAGGAAATTATGAAATTAAAATGATTTTTTTTATATTATGAAATTTTCAGAGTGAAATTTAACAATTTTAATTTAAATCATGTTTTAATGGGTCTCATCGATTTTGTTTGTTTTATAAACAAAATAGCATTATTCGTCTGTTACGTCTCTGGTCGTTTGTTAATTTTCCGTAGAATTCTTTCCGAGAAACTTCAGCGATACAAGTCCTTTCTTAAATAAAACTAGTTTATTGTTTCTCAACTCAACTTTGCAATACACTTAATTTCCACAGTCACTTTAACTTAAACACACGCACTTTACTTACGGTAACTACCACGCTTGACTCAATTGTCCGTCTCTGTCTGTCTGCAATTGTATTCTCTGATTAATTAATTTCGCTTTATCTGGCGCACTTATATACAAGAATAGAGGGCGCGTAGAAAAGACCAGACATGATCCTTCTAGAATATCATGACGTGTTACTAGCGTCACGTGACTTCCGCTGTCGTAACAGTCCATATTTAACACGTTATAACAATCTTAAACTTTTTTTATTCGTTATGAGACAACGACAGAACACGATAAATTAAATTAAAATAATATCATATAAAACTAAAGAATAAGGGTTCTTACATGGAATTTGGTAAATGTGCAGTGTTTAAAAAGCAGTGATTATTTATATTTTGTATCAAGCTGAACAACTAAGAACAAAGAAATCGGAAGTAGGGCGAGTTTCGCTTATATATATATATATATTGAATATGAATACAATGCGAAACGAGCCTTGTTCATTACAAAAGAGACGTGCGAAAAAACATAAAAACTTCCATAAAAAATTCTGATGAGCTTTTAGTAATGTGCATAAGATGTATAACCTTGTTGCCTTCCCAAAAATAACTATGTTATAAACAATATACTATGCGGTTAAAGTGTATATCTTTCAATAGCACTTCTAATATGTTTTTCTTTAGTTTTATTCAATACCATACAAATTAATATCTTTTATACAAATTTTAATAATAATACTACTGTATACTCCATATAAGAATTTTCAACGTCAAATCATACTAATAGATGCTCAACATAGGCGGCAGAATCGTGGTTCACTGGGAGCACGTTCCCTCCCAATTTTTGACCCTAGCGAAGCACCCCTTTGAATGGGGAATAGAGACTCGTGTGTAACTCCCACAAAAAGTCGCTGTTTTGGTTTTGAATTCAATGATCACTATTAACATAGCAAATACCCCCTGCCGCCTATGTTCAGTTCGTTGTTGGTGAAAATGAAACTTTATACTTACGTCCACACACAACTCCGCGAAGGCTCTTCTTAAACTGGGGCTTGGTCTGTGAAGGCTCCATTTCGGATGCTGTTAAATACAGAGAAGCATCATCATCTCCTAGAGCAGAATGGAAGTCTGTAAAAAGACCAGACAACAAGGCCATTTCCATCATCCCACGTACCGCCGTGTGAGAAATCCAGTTTAACCATATTTGTTGAGTGAAAATTGAAACCCGGAAACAAGCATAATTGATTGGTTGCTTTTGAGTAAGTCTTGAATTATCATCTCTCTCTTTTTTTATGATATTCTGAACGTATATGCCAATTTGGCAACCACGAGAAGCAACGTATAACGTAAAATGTATCGTCTTGCAAATATGAAACTCATAAACTGTTTATCTCCATTTGATTTTATACAAGTATAAATGTGAGCCAAATAAGCGCAATATACACAACGTTTGTTGATTACAGCCATGGTATCTTTGAATCGATAAATATAATATCTTGAAAAAAACGGTTTCACAAAAAAATTGAATTTTAATTCATTGTAACCTTAAATAATTTCGATTTTACTAGGAATTGTACAATAATGTAAAGATATCTCTGTTACTTTGAAAGATATCTCTGTTACTTTTCTATATTTGAATATAGTTTTTAGGATAATTTTTTGGGCAATGAAGTTTCATCTGTGGGATTCGGAATTTATGGCTTGTTATCCGGTATCCAGTCAAGAGAGCAATGAAAAGAAAAATAATGCTCTTGTTAATGCTGGTAATAGGTATATGTTAATGCTGGTAATGGTATATGTTAATGCTGGTAATAGGTATATGTTAATGCTGGCATTAACATATACCATTACCAGCATTAACATATACCATTAAACATATACCTATTACCAGGTCACAAAGCGTGAGTGCATTATATTAAAACGTTACCATGTCCGGTTATGTTTTATCTGACGACCGTGCATATTGACAAGTAGACTAGTTCGTCATTTCTTCTAAATAATAAGTAAAGTTAATGAAAGTAAAACAAATAATAATAACTGGTGTTAAAATAAATAATGTGTTATTAATCCTTACCCTAATTCTGACATGTAAATTACTTTAAATAAAATTGATAAATATTACACATCTTTTTTTTATGTTAAACACAAAGCTACATAGTGTTATATGGCTTTTAGTGTTATATGCCTGCAGGTTTACCGCTGTGTTACTGGGAGGCAATTGAAGTTCATCAAGTTAATTTAGTTTTCACTAGTTCACACCATAACAGTTGTTGTTCATGCAAATTCATAAAATGGTCTCGACCATTGCTATGTCTATTGTATACCGGCTGGCCTGAAGAGCCCTAGTATTAGGCGAAATTCCTTGTTGGCACTGAATAGAACATATATATAGTTTGTTTGACACATTGTTAAACATTATTCTTGACTGTCACCCATAAGTTCTTAGAATAGCCCTGCAGCCCAGTTTCCATTGCGAAAAGCTTTGTTGTAAGATTGTCATATCCCAAGTACACTCCCCTTCCATAAAAGCTTTCCATAAACTATCAAGTCTACGATGAAGATTGTTCCCCAGCACCCGTTTCATCAGTCTGATCGCACATGAAACCCATATATGCTGCGTTCAGCAACTTGACCAGTATATTTTTATATGGAATAGTTAATGAGGTATGCGATTGTTGAATGGCTATGTCGTGGAAGCAGCTTGTGTGCATGTGACTTATGCCACTTTCCAGAAAAAGATCCTTCTTGATTAAATTGCGTACTGTTGCCTAGAGTAGGTGGACGGCTTTTGCTGCTGGCCTTTGTTTTTGTGAATTCTCACTTGTTACAAGATAACGAATTATGCTTACTGCAGCTGAGGTATGACTTATTGCAGGTCTCTTTCTAGATGGTTCTGGTGCCCAAAACTGACTCATGTTATTTTAGAACCTCGATATGAGCACATATTTATGATTCGAATGAACAAATATTTTGCATAGGAAAGGGTTGTTACATGCCCTTCACAAAAGTTTTCTTCAGTTTTCTGTAGCATCACACTAGCTACGTAATACCAAGCAATGTCAACATGTAGTACTGATACACCCGCTATTTTATATCGGCTATGGCCTGAATTGCATATTCAAAATCATTTTAATATAAAATTCTCACCATATATTTTTATTGAACAATGTTTCTATAACTAGAATAATTCTTGAACCATACCTCGAAGCGTTTGATATTTGAGTATATCCATTTCAATCATGTCAAACATGCTGTTAATTTCATGTTCTTATTATATTTTTGGAACATGTTGATTATACATTAAATTTCCCAACAAAAATGACACAGGTAATTAATAAAGAAGGTTAAGGTATATTATTAGTTAAGAAACAACTGGTAACAAAGAAAAAACTAGAGACAAAAATGATCAAAACCCTAGAAAAACAAAAAGCATAATGACTAACTACGTAGTTTATTTATTCATAAGTAATTTCAATAACAGGTGTACTAGGTATGCAACAATGTCAATTATATTTATAGCAGTTATAGAATATACTGAGATTACCGTACAGAAAAATATATCACAATAAAAAAAAACAATTTAGATATGTTTAATTCAAAACTGAAGACTGCATTATTTTTTATTGTAAGATATGAACACCAGTTATTAGAAAGAAAAACGTCGACGTAGCTATCTATTAAATTTGAAAATATCAAACTTTCATCGAGATCTGTGAAAATTTGTTTTGTTTGTGTAAGGTATTAATTTAAAAAATATAATATTGTTTATACTTATGTGTTGAAACCAATGTAATACGAATAAAAAATCACTATACTTTTTTTTGAAAAACTGGGGAAAATAAATAAACCGTCTTTGGTGGTTAAAATATGAAAACAAACTAGCCTATTTACTGGAGTGATAACAATGTCTATTATATCTTTTGGTGAACAACATAAGGAATAAAAAATATAAAGATATGAATTACTAATATAGATGGAAGTCGATTTTCAATGTTATCAATGCAAAAGAACTGGGTTTGTTTAAAGTATTATTATAAGTTTTTTAAGTTTCAATTTGGATGTTAGCTAGAGGGCGTGACATTATTGAAGGCTTAGAATATCTAGATAGTTTAAAACTTGACGTCAAGACTAGTATCTTAAATTAATATCTAGAAGTGAGATATCAAGGGGACAAATCAGTTGAAGCTAATAGTGAATAAGTTAGTGTTTAGTTTTCGGTTGTTAATGCCAGTCATTGATTGAAGTATAGATTGATGTTAGTTATCACTTATATTCAATTACTCGATCTATTAGCTGTGAAATTGTACAAGTAAATTTATTTTTATATTAAGTGTAGTATTCTTAGTAAGGTATTCCTGTTTAAACGTCATTTGTAAAATTAGGCCTACAAGCTACAATAATATACAAGCTTGAAGAAATATTAAGAAATAAACAAACTAATATGTAATCGTTAGATGGGCTTGACTTCGAATTATTTTCATAAAATGCTTTAAATGAGTCCGCCCAACGAAAGAGCAATATTACAGCGATATATTGATAAATGAATTTCAAATAACTTTATAAAATTGGCAATGAATAGTGAAATAAAATTAAAGATTTTGTATATTCGTTGAATAAATATTTATAAGAATCATTTGGTATTAATATATCCGCATCATATGCATATAATAAAGTGACATTGGATCGTACAGAGTTTCTTACCATCTAATGACGTTATTGATCCCGAATGTAAACTCTCTGTCATAACTGTATTAATTTCTTCATATGCGTCAAAATCTTCTAAAATTTCTACTTTCGCATCAGTTTCAGTCTGTTTCTTTAAATTCGGTTTTTCTTCGTCTAATTTTGCTGCTTTTCGTTCGGGTTCTGCTTCATGCTTCGGTTGGGTAGTTGATCGTTTGATTTTTTGTTCAGTTTCCACGGTCTTCTGTGGCTCTTGAATTACAAGAACTGGCTCTTCATCCCCCAAGTCTTCAATAGCTGAAACAAAGCTAAATTTTAAAACGAATTCAAGCAAAAAATACAATTATTTTAATTGATTTTGTTTGCATATTATTAAGCACAAAGCTACCCAATGGGCTATCTTTGTCGTTCCCACCGAAAGTATCGAACAGGAAGTTTTAGCGTTATAAGCCCTCAGACTTTTATTTGTATGTTACAAGATAAATAGGGAAACTGCTTACAGTGTTTTATGTAATTTTCTGTTGTCATAACATGTTGGTGTTTGGAATTGTAACTAAAATAGGACTGTGAAGTAGATAAATGATACTAAAACACTTAAATTCGCTTTTCTTTGATAACAATTCACAAAATCAAAACATTTTTTGTTTCATCAAATCGTTTGGAATTAGGCAATGTGTGAAATCCAAAAGGTAAAAAATCCCACAAGTGATATTATACATATTTTATTATTACTTTTTTTTATTATCAAAAACTACAAAAACAAGCATTTACAAAATTTTCATTCGTCTACAAGAGTTAAATAGATTTCAATTGACTTTGGAGTTCAAGAAGAAGATGGGATAACCTTATAGATATTTATAATTAAAGAGTACTTAATCAAAAGTATTACCCATAAAAGTCCCCCAACAAATGTATCGAAAAATTATCAGCTGAAACCTAGAAATTAAGCATTAATATTTGAAAAACTTGAACGTTATAAATTTATTATCAATTATGATTAGAATTCATAAGGAGATTTTACTACAAATCTTTCTCGATCTCAATAGATATACTTTGTAAAAACATTCAAGCAAAAGGAAAATATTCACACAAAATAAGCGAAGAAAAACTGAAGGTCGGGAAAGATAACAACTCTATGATATATATATATGGTAGAACATAATGAAGATCGAAGTTTGGAACGCACCATGAGGAACTGCTGTAACATTCAATGCTTCACTCCATTCCTGTTTCTGTTCTACTGATTTCGCTATAAGTTTGACGGGAAGTCCTTTTTGTTCTGGTGTTTTAGGAATAAGTTGTAAAGCCCGATCTTCACCATCCACTTGATCAACGATCTCTATGTCTTGTAACTGGAAGAGACAAACAATAACATTTGAATTTCTCCAAATCTGTAGACGAGGTAAGAATATGAGTATGGATGAACGAATAGAAAAACAAATGATGGAAGAGACAAACAATAACATTTGAATTTCTCCAAATCTGTAGACGAGGTAAGAATATGAGTATGGATGAACGAATAGAAAAACAAATGATGGAAGAGACAAACAATAACATTTGAATTTCTCCAAATC